AGGAAGACAAATATCGGTGTTACTCCAGATAGAAATAAGATTAAATTAGCTTTTTAAATTAGTTAATACATTACAAAGACACATGCAAAAAATCGTCTGGATATCGTGTTCTCTGGATAACCTATTCCATCTCTCTTTCCATTATCATAGAAAACCCTGAATCAAGTCAAAAATAAACCATAACATAGATTGTCATGGACATACAGCTTGTGGAAAGGATTCCCCTCCTAATTTTTCATTTTATTCCCTGTGTATTTACAATAAAAGTGTTACTCTCTGAGTCTGACCAGTTCATTCCACAGAAAACTAAGTAACAATACATATTCAGTAAGAGTGGGTTCTTTTAGAACTAAATATAAAGGAAAAAGAGGCTGTTTTGCACTTTGGCTGGTGCATTGCTAAGTGTGGCATTGAATAAGAAAAAAATCTTAAGCTCCCCTAAAATTAGAAGTTCTAGGAAGTCTTGCCTTAAATATTTAAAGGAGTTAGTGCCTGTAGCACGTTAAACATACTTTAAAAAAAACTAAGAGAAAGCCTTCATGATCACATCCATATGTTTAGTTTTAATTTTCATCACACTTAGCTCTGAATAATTAAGAAAGAAAAAAACAATCAGTCTTATTGTGGGTCCCACACAGTCAAAGCCACATACACGTGATTCGTGATCACAGCTTGTATTCACAGCTTTCGTGTGTGTGGTATGGGTCTGGCAATTAGACTGTGTTTTTTCTAAAAATTATTCAGCACTAGAGAGAGATCAGTATTAAAATTTCCCCAAATCTACATATCAGGGTAATCAAAGGACTATAGCTAACAAAATATCAAAATTCTAAGCTGTGTAACATTTTGGCCTCATTTCATTGCGACTGACGCTTGAAAGGAATTTTTGAGAGAATCTAGGGAGAAAACAAAGATTCCGTTAACCTAGATGATTTTCATGACAGCTACCAAAAAAATAAAATAAATAAGATGCGGAGAGAGCTGTTTTCTCAAAATTGCAGATCCATTTTTCTGGAGGAAAAAAAAATTCTCCCATGATTACTTTCATATCAAAGAACCCGGTCATGGGGGAGATGCATAATTTGACACATTTAGCAGCCTTTGAGCTTTTGAAGGACTCTGTAAAAAGAATCCATGGTTACATCTGTCAGGTTGACAGTCTTCTTTCGTGACCTTTAAAAAAAAAGTTGAGAAATTGATCTTTCTAGTTCACATTTGCTCAATTACCTCTAAAGTTCTGCCCAAGCCAGGAATTGGCCATCTCAGCTTTAAATTTATTATTTTTTGAGCTAAGATAACCGAGTACTAATGGAATCTCTAAATGGAGAATTTTTGTGAATGGTCTTTTTTTGTGTGAAATTTTCTGGTGGGCCTATGGTGATAATATTTCCTATATTCTCCATTGGCTGTTTTAATACATTAACTACTAAATATTGTCTTTTATGCAACTCATTTTAGAATCAGATCTTCTTAGGCAGGAATGCCAGCAGTGAACAATCCAAACATAAGGCTCTGCTCTGGGTGCTCAGTTATGGCCAGGAGTGGAACAAGTAAGCTGTTGGTTCCTTGCACTCAGAATTTCACCATCCAAAACCCCAAATCGTCTCTACAGAGGCTAAGAGAAGTCAACTGGCATGTCCTTTAGGTTTTAATTACAATTTACCAAAAGCTCCCACGTTCTGCACTTGACAGGTGCTTCCTCTCATCATTCCCAACACTGGGAAATGCATCTATCAAATTGCTATGAGGACTTCCCTGGTGGCACAGTGATTAAGACGCCACTTGCCAGTGCAGGGGACACGGGTTTGATCCCTGGTCTGGGACGATCCCACATGCCACAGAGCAGCTAAGTCCGTGCGCAACTGCTGAGCCTGCACTCTAGAGCCCGTGAGCCACAACTACTGAGCCCGCGCGCCTAGAGCCCATGCTCTGCAACAAGAGCGGCCACCACAATGAGAAGCCAGCATATCGCAACGAGGGGTGGCCCCTGCTCGCACAACTAGAGAAAGCCTGCACCCAGCGGCGAAGACCCCAACACAGCCAAAAATAAAATAAAGAAATATAAAATAAAGAATCCGCCTGGCAATACAGGGGACATGGGTTTGAGCCCTGGTCCGGGAAGATCCCACATGCCGCAGAGCAACTAAGCCCATGTGCCACAACTCCTGAGCATGCACTGTAGAGCCCGCGAGTCACAACTACTGAGCTCGTGTGCCACAACTACGGAAGCCAGCACGCCTAGAGCCTGTGCTCCACAACAAGAGAAGCCACCGCAATGAGAAGCCCGCGCACGGCAACAAAGAGTAGCCCCCGCTCGCCACAGCTAGAGAAAGCCCGCGCCCAGCAACGAAGAACCAACGCAGCCAAAAATTAATTAATTAATTTTTTAAAAAATCACTATGGGTAGAGGGTCCTGAGCATCATTCCTGCAGTTCTCAGCGACATTAACTCAGTTAACTATTGATAAACAACATTCTTAGACTTCTTTGTGTTTCCAGGAGCCCCAGGTTGAAGCAGCCCAGAAACAGAAGAGATGCTAATCACAATGTGTTCTTAAACGTGTTCAGTGAAGGAGTGCAGGTTTCCCTCTTGACCTCAGTGTCACTCCGGGGCCGGGGGGGTGGGGAATAAAATCCCTCCAGTTTTCCATTCAGATAAAACCTCTGCTCCTCTTCTCACCAAAAGTAGAGCAAGAAAGTGGGATTATGGTGAATGCCCACTAGCAGGCACATGCTCTATTGTCATCCCCTCTTCAACTGGAATCAAGGAGCTTTGCAGCAAAACAAAGCTCCTCTCCTCTCATCCCATCCCCCACTCTCTGTCTTGGCCCTCACCTCCGCCTTCCTTCCCTCCCGCCCACGTTCTTATCCACCTACTTTCCTTCAGGACCCATCCTTTCTCCTCCCTCCCTTTCTCTTCCTCATTCTCTTCCTCTCCCTCACCTCCTCTCAAATACCCTCACCCCTGCACTTGTCTTCCTCCTTATCGTCTGCTGGGCTGGCTTGTATCAAACTCCGCTTCATTTGCCTTTCTGAAAAATGGCAGCGTTGCCCTTAGAAGTGCTACCGAGCATCCAAGTGCCACAGGGCAGAGTGGTGCTGTGGCCACATTAATTTATGAGGACTAATCCATTCGAGATATAAACGTGGATCTCTGTTTTCATGGAAAACTTGCTCTCTTCTTTGGGACCCATTAATGGTCACCCAGTTGTACAGGGTTTTCCCTGTTCTTGGGGCTTACCCCACCCATGCACCTATCTGGAGAACTACAGTTCTGTGGCCAAAGAAGTGGATTCAGTGACCAGCGAGGGTCTGCTGGACACATGGCTTCTTGTCCATGTTTGCTCAACCCTTGGCCTAAGGGCCAGCTTGTGGTGGACTCGGTATTTATTGAATGCATGATCCGTACTGAATTTGATCAGTACATTTGTGTTTATGAAACAATAGCATGGATATAACAAGGGAAAGAGATTTGTTAACTTTAAATTTTTTTTCACTGTGGTAAAATATACATAACATACAGTTTACTATTTTAACTATTTAAAGCTTATTGTTCAATGGCATTAAGTACATTCTCACTGTTGTGCAATCATCACCACCATCCAGTTCCAGAACTATTTCATCTTCCCAAACTGAAACTCTGTACCCACTAAACGGTAATTCCCCTCCCCCTTCCCCCTCACCATTCTATAATACTTCCTGTCTCTACGAATTGACTACTCTAGGTACCTCACAGAAGTGGAATCGTACAGTATTAGTCCTTGTGTGTCTGGCTTATTTCACTTAGGATAATGAGTAATTTTTGATATGGATGTTTGTTTGATTTCTCATTCTGTATGAAAAAAAGAGTTCCATTACTGGGTCACTTGTTTTTGCCCTTTGGTATTCTGATGGTCTGAGGAGGAAGAGATCTGTACTGAAACAGCATTACACAAATTTTACCAAAGTGAGCAAAAATAAGGGTTCTGCTTTTTTCTCTATTTCTGATAAATCTGTCCCTTATTTGACACTCACCCCCTTCTTCCTTGGGTTTCCATGGCAAGTGTAGGCCAGGAGGGAAGTCCCTCACCAGCATCCTTCCTTCTCCATGGCACCCCACGATGGCCGAAAGGCCGGCCCACAGCCCATGGGTCTTCCCCATCCTGTGCCCTGACTCCTTCCTTTGAAGTGAATCCACAGCAGACCACAAACTGCTATCCTGTGTGTGTCTGCTTTGGACACAAAAGAGTATCTCTTCCTTTCAGTACAAAATGGAGCACTTGATTAAGGTGTGATATAATTGCTTTGTGAGAGAGTTTGCCCTGAAAATGTCTTGGCTTTTCTGAAGTGGGCTGCATGCTTGTTTCTGTTTGCACCACATGCTAATCTCACGAATGGCCCTGTTCTGCCAGTGGGAGGACAAATAGCTGTTCTTTTGCTCTTGTGCCCATGGAAAGCTCCCCACTTCTCCTTGCCCTGTTGCCATAGTGACTGAAACATAGTTCTTCAAAATAGGGAAGGAATCTCTCTGGGCAGTTGGGAACTTAGCAAACTGAGAACATACGTAGGCCTCAATTATTACAGATGCTGGTGTAAATACCTAGTTATCAATAGTCGTAAGCGTGGCTGGAATCTGTAGGTGAATTTTACTGTCACTTGGGGGGTGTATAGGAAAGGATCGATGAATGGGCTCTTTATTCTAGTCCCACAGATTCTTCTATGAGCATCAAAAATTGTCATACAAGGTCAGACCATGGGCCTTACAACAGAGAACTCAATTTTTCTCAATATTTCTATTCCCAGCATAGAGAGTAGGCAGTGACAGAGTGCAGTTACACTCCTCCAACTCCCTCAGAGGATTGAAGATACAGCCCCAACTAGAGGAGTCCTTTAAGAATCAGGATTTGTGCATAATCTTCTGTGAGAAATTTTTATTTTCAACCTTTATCAGCTCTTAGAGTCAAAATTCCTTTAAAAGAACTTTTAAAGGGCCATATCGCTCATTGGTGGGGCTGTGGGATGAGAGCTGCACCGCGCGGGACGAGTTGCCGGCGGCACCCGACGGAGCAGAAGGGGAGAGAGGACAGAGCCGGAGAGGGTGGTCAGTGCAGCCATCCTTACCTTTGTTCAGACACACCTCCCAGAGGCTGACCTCAGCGGCTTGGATGAGATCATCTTCTATGTGCTCGGGGTTCTGGAGGACCTGGGCCCCTCAGGCCCATCAGAGGAGAATTTCGATATGGAGGCCTTCACTGAGATGATGGAGGCCTATGTGCCTGGCTTCACCCACATCCCAAGGGGTACAATAGGGGAAATGAGGCAGAAACTCTCAGGGCAGTTGAGTGGTGCCAGGAACAAAGAGAACCTGCAACCACAGAACTCTGAGGTCCAAGGTCAGGTATCTATCTCCCCAGAGCCTCTGCAGCAGTTCAAAGAAGAGACGATGTCTTCTCCGACTGCTGCTAGGGACACCCAAGATGAGGCATCCGGCGCTGAGGAGGAGCTGCTGCCGGGGGTGGACGTACTTCTGGAGGTGTTCCTTACCTGTTTGGTGGAGCAGGCCCAGTGGGTGTTGGCCAGAGCTCGAGGGGACTCGGAAGAAGCTGTGCAGATGTTGGTAGAGGGGAAGGAGGAGAGGCCTCCAGCCTGGGATGGCCCCAACCAGGACCTGCCCAGGCGCCTCAGCGGCCCCCAAAAGGATGAGCTGAAGTCCTTCATCCTGCAGAAGTACATGATGGTGGATAGCTCAGAGGATCAGAAGATTCACTGGCCTATGGCTCCTAAGGAGGCTCCCAAGAAGCTGATCCAGTACATCAACAACCAGGTAGTGAGCACCAAAGTGGAGCGATTCAAAGATGTGCGGGACCCTGAGGCTGGGGAAATGAAGGCCACATACATCAACCTCAAGCCAGCCAGAAAGTACCGCTTCCACTGAGGCATTCGCCAGACTCTACCCGAGCTGTCTAGGCTCAGATCCCAGAGGGACACAGGAGCCCTACATCTGCACACAGGACCCGCCCTAACTCCTGCCCCCCATCTTCCCCTACTTCCTTGCTCCACAGTGCTAACCTCCTCTTGGAGCTGCCATGGGCACAGTAGAGGTAGCCCCAGGAAAAACAAACAAACAAACAAAAGGGCCATATCATTTCTGTGTGGTGTCCTAAATAGCAATTTATTGATGTATTATTTCAAAATGATTTTTCTTATTATTTATGTTTATAAACAAATGGGAATTTACCAAAATTTATTAGAATTTGTGGAGGCAGTTTCTAAAGGGCAAGGGCACATCAAAGATGATTCTTTTTTTTTTTTTTTTTGGTTCAAAAACACCCCTTTAGTGGTAACTGGACTTGAATGCAGCAGAAAATATTTTAAAATAATGTTTGAGTGGAAATGTAAAGTGATACAGCCACTATAGAAAGAAGTATGGTTTTCCCTCAAAAAACCATATGATCCAGCAGTTCCACTTCTGGGATATACCCAAAAGAATTGAAAGCAGGGTTTTGAAGAGATATTTGTTCATAGCAGCATAATTCACAATAGTCAAAAGGTGGAAATAATCCGTATCCGTCAGTGGATGAATGGGTAAACAAAATGGGGTACATACATGTAATGGAGTATTATTCAACCTTTAAAAAGGAAGGAGAGGGGCTTCCCTGGTGGTGCAGTGGTTGAGAGTTCACCTGCGAATGCAGGGGACACGGGTTTGTGCCCCGGTCGGGGGGATCCCACATGCCCCGGAGCGGCTGGGCCCGTGAGCCATGGCTGCTGGGCCTGTGCGTCCGGAGCCTGTGCTCCGCGGGGGGAGAGGCCACAGCAGTGAGAGGCCCGCGTACCGCAAAAAAAAAAAAAAAGGAAGGAGAATCTCACATATGCTACAACATGGATGAACCTTGTGGACATTATGCTAAGTGAAATAAGCCAGTCACAAAAGGACAAATACTGTATGATTTCACTTACATGAGGTACCTAGGGCGTTCAAATTCATAGGGACAGAAAGTACAATAGAATAGTGGTTTCCAGGGGCTGGGGGGAGAGGGAATGGGCAGGCTGATGAAAAGTTCTGGAGATGGATGGTGGTGATGGTTACACAACAGTGGGGATGTATATATACATGCCACTGAATCGTATGCTTAAAAATGGTTAAAATGGTAAATTTTATGTTACGTGTATTTTACCACAGTAAAAAAAAATATTTGACCAGCAGAGGTGTAAAATGATAGAATACAGATCAGCTCAAGGTGGGAAATACTGATCTTGAAGGTTTAACATGATCCATAGATTGTTTCATCATTGCTCAAATAAGGCCGTTATAAACCTTCACCCAGCGTTTCGGATCTCCAGCCCCTTTCCATGGCCACCTTCACTCACTATATCATGCCTCTTTTCCTGGAATGTCCAAAACCCTGATGTAAAGAGTGCAAAGGGCTGTGCATGAGCACATGGCCAGCTAGGCACCCTCATGCCCCACTGGTAGCAAAATAAGTTAGTACAACCCTTTGTGAAGACAGTCTGGGGAAGTCTGTGAAGAGCATAACCATGATCACGCCCACTCTCCCTTTTAGCCCTCTGAGGACACAGGCTAATGGACACATGTGGCCCTCTCTCCTTAAACGCTTGCCAGCCCACCGCCCATCTAGCCCTGAGTCCATCCTTTCCTTCATTCCTCTCTCAGGTCCAGTCCCTGTATGTGCTGGGCAGCCTGGTGCTGAGAGCTACGCATACACCCGTGTTGGGTCAGGATGGGGAGATGCAGTGCAGAGGTGTGTGGAGAGCACGCATCTAGGCACTGACATGTGTTAACTATCTAGTGAGTAATGTATAGGCATTGTCTTCATCAGGGTTCTCCAGAGAAACAGAACCAATAGGGTATGTCTGCGTGTGTGTGTGTGTGTGCATGTGTGTGAGATATATATAAGAGATGTAGTATAAGGACAATAAGACCCACATGATTATGGAGGCTGACAAGTCCCAAGAGCTGCAGTCAGGAAGCTGGGGACCCAGGAGAGCCATTGGTATAAGTTCCAGTCCAAAGGCTGGCAAGCTTGAAAACCAGGAAGAACCAATGTTTCAGTTCAAGCCTCAAGGCAGGAAAATCTGGAAGGCTATCAGGCAGGAGGAGTTCCTTTTTTACTCGGGAGTATTGGCCTACTTGGTGTCTTCCACTGATTGGATGAGGCCCACCCACATTAGGGAAAGCAGTCTCCTTTACTCAGTCTGCTGATTCATATGTTAATCTCATCCAGATATATCTTCACAGACACACCTAGAATAATGTTTTACCAAATATCGGGGCACCTTGTGGCCTGGTCAAGTTGGCACGTAAAATTAATCATTGTGGTATTATGTACCAAAATGATTTAGAATTAATTGTGCTGCCTAAATCATTATTGTAGTTAACAATTGCTTTTCAACTCAGTTTTGAATTTAAGAGTGACATTATGAAAAGTCCTGAATCAAATTCTTTTTCTTTTCTTTTTTTTTTTTTTTGCCGTACGCGGGCCTCTCACTGTTGTGGCCTTTCCC